AATAATAATAACAATGCTCAAAGAACATGATGTTATAATAAATAATCATTGACCTCAAGTTAGTAAGTAGAGCAATATATTGTGTTCGAATCCTGATAGCAACCTACGTTTTTCCTTAAAAACTATTTATCTGTTCTCATATGTATAACTAAAACTTTTATTTCAAATAGTATATAAATATAAATATAAATAGAATAATAATAATAACAATGCTCAAAGAACATGATGTTATAATAAATAATCATTGACCTCAAGTTAGTAAGTAGAGCAATATATTGTGTTCGAATCCCGATAGCAACAATACGCTTTTCTTTAAAAAACTATTTATCTATTATCATATGTATAACTAAACCTGTTATATAAAATAGTATATATATATGTGTGTATATATGTATATATATATATACAAATAGATAAATAATAAGAGTATCAAGCGTACATTGACCTCAAGTTAGTAAATAGAGCAATATATTGTGTTTGAATCCCGATAGCAACCTACGTTTTCCATTAAAAACTATTTATCTATTGTCATATGTATAACTAATACTTTTATATAAAATAGTATATAAATATAAATATAAATAGATAAATAATAATAACAATGCTCAAAGAACATGATGTTATAATAAATAAACATTGACCTCAAGTTAGTAAGTAGAGCAATATATTGTGTTCGAATCCCGATAGCAACCTACGTTTTTCCTTAAAAACATTGTCTGTTGTCATTAAACTTTTATATAAAATTATATAGGCCTATATATATGTAAATATATGTATAACTAAACCTGTTACATAAAATAATATAAATATATTATATATACATTACTATATTTTATATAAATATACTATTATAAAGATATTATTTGTATATACATATATATATAATATTTATATATATATAGCCTATACAAATAATATCTTTATAATAGCATGCATATATATATATATATGTATATATATATATATATGTATATATATATATGTATATATATATATATATAGTGAGTGAAGGCGATGACAATGATAAAAACAAAGGAGATACGGTGATATTAACCCAAATCCGGGGCCAACACAACATCGGACAGCTATTATTAAACCTAAATGACAGTGTGGTGCAGGATTCAATAAGCGCTCTAAGACGATCTCATGCGATATATGCAATACCATTTTCCACAAAAATGCCTCAAATTCGTAACAAACAACAGCCCAAATACTGTTTGCTTCAGTTGTAATAGCGATAGATTTCTGCGGACTTCATCATCACTTACGCTGAGTGGACGAAATATTCGTTTTAAATATAAAGTTCCGAAAATACGTCAACTTGACTTTTGTTTTTATCATTGTCATCGCCTTCACTACTGTATTATATTTGTTATGGAACAACGTACTACATCATTTCACAATGATACATGTTTATATTGATACAGCATAGACAGCAGAAGGTGCCGGGTTTGAATCCGGGTTGGGGCACTTATTTTTTTCGCATTCGCAGATTTCTCTTCTTTAACGTTTAAAATGTCTTTATAGTTTATATATATTTATATTACCACAAGACAGTTTAGAGTTTATTTCTATCAAATCATGATTTATATATGCACACATAAATAAATAATAATAACAGTCCTCAAATAAGGATGTTATAAACGGATGAAGCAAGCCCTTCAATTCAACGAAAAGGTAAAGGAACTCTTAGTTAAAAAGGCTATGCTTATTACGATTATAACATCGTGTTTCTATTTGAGCACTGTTGTTATTATTATTATTATTTATCTTTTATTATTGTTTATATTGTGTATACGGTGCTACGCAACAAACTTAATTTGAATATATTACATATACATATATATATATACACATATAAATCAAATAGATAATACTGTTCTCAAATATAACATGATGAATCGTATCAAACATAGTTCATCAACGAAATTAATTGATACATAAGCAATTAAATAATAATAATGAAATAAAAAAACAAATTAATAAATAACAATAACAGTGCTCGAATAGGAACATGTTGTACTCGCCTTGATATCGAGTGGTTGCAGGTTTGAATTCAGCCAGAAACAACTTTTTCATGCAATTGAAATAAAGGAACTTTTCAATGATGAGCTATGCTTGATACAATTATTACATGTTCCTATTTAATTACTGTTATTATTATTTATCGGTTTTACTGTTTACAATTTTA